CGAGCCCGAGCCCGAGTCCGAGTCCGAATCCGAGTCCGAGTCCGAGTCCGAGTCCGAGTCCGAGTCCGAGTCCGGAGCCTGAGAGGGTGAAAGCCCAAAGCGTTCGTCTCCCAGACCCTGGGGGGTTTGGTGAGCTCCAAAAGTATAGTAAGGGGGAGGACTGCAGTGGAGCCAGTTTAGCCAGGAAAGGCCAGTTTGGCCCAGGAAGGCCGGACCCAGTGTTGGGTGATGAGCTGCCCACTGGGAAGTCCAAGACTGGAGTGAACATAGACCGACAAACGGGGTAGCTTGGTGAAGTGTTCAAGAGCTGGCTCTAGTTCCCCCGGGAGATCGACTGGCCGATGCTCCCAGTCCAAGTGTGGGTGGCACTACCTACTTGGATACCTAGTGTGGCTCAACGGAACCCACTCTAAGCCCATGGCTAGAGCACCCAAGGGCAGAAGGCGAGGAGAGTACCTAGGTGGCTCGCGTAAGGCCACGGTGTTCCGAAATGTTGTCCCAAAGGCCCAGACTGTGGAAAGGAAGAGGAGCAGTCCTCAGGGGTAGTGACCAAGGACACAGTCGTGTGGTGAGGAAGTCCCAGAGGACCATGGGACTTAGTGGTCGGGCCTGTGGGTCTCGATCCAGTGGCAGTGTTGGCAAACACGGCCAGGGGTAGAAAGGGACTTAGTGGGGACTGATAGAGGGATATTGGGGAAGGCTATTCCACTTGTCAGTGGGCATCCTAAGGATGCTAAGGAGTGGATCTGAGATGACCACTCATGGATGGTTTGCCTAGTCTTGGAGAGCCAAGACTGTGATGCAAGTGGTATTGGACTACTAGTGTGGCAAAGGTGACTGGGCATGGCCTTAGCGTAACGGGCTGCTATGTCGGTGGTACCTTTGAGTGTCAGTCATGGGATCGGACACGTGGAGCACTTGGACCAAGTGCAAATGTTGAGTGGCATGGATGCCATTCTCGGGGCTAGCAAGTCCCAAGTCCTGGATTGGACTTATGGAGGTTGTGAATGAGACTCCTCCAAGTGGTCAGAGGTGTAGTTAAGTGACTAAAGTAGAATGGAAAATTTAGTCGCTTACAATTGCCACATATCATTTTTGGGATAATGCTCAACATTTGTGTGAGTTCCCCATATGTCTCCAAGGGACGATGTTACAGTGGTACAATGGATTGAGCGCAGCCACTCGTGGCGATTGGAGTGTTCTTCCGGACGTCTTCAAACGCGCCTTTGGACACGCCGACGATTGTGATGATGCCTTCCAACAATTGTATCGTCTTCGCCAAGGGCCATCTGAGTTGGTGATGCAACTTGGTGTTCGTTTCCGAAGTCTTTTGCTTCGTGCGGAGCCCAATATGTCGGAGCAGATCAAGCTAGGAATGTTGTGGCCAGCACTTCGTTAAGATCTTGTTGGACTTGTGCATGGACTTGCTCCTGCCACTCTTGACGATGCTCTTCGTTTGGCACAACATTATGAGACGTCGCCTCTTCCACTTCTCACTACATGTCCTTCAGCTCCACTTCCTATGAGTGATGGTCCTGTTCTAATGGAGGTTGATGTTGCTGCTACTCGAGTCCAAGGACAAGGGTGAGGACGTGGTCATGGCCGTGATGTTCGTTGCTGGGCGTGTGAGGAAGTTGGTCATACTTATCAACATTGTCAGCGCTTTCCAGATTGGCAACCTCCATTTCCTAGGTGGAGACCTTAGCGTCAGCAACGTCCCGTTGGTGCTGCTGTGACTTTGAGGCTTCTTCCCCTTGTTTTATACTTCCTTATGTTTCATCCATTCCTCTCACTTTCATGCTTCTTTGTCCCTCTACTTCTACCTCTGCTTCCATTACTTTTGTTCCCCCACTATTTCCTCTTGTGTTTCCATCTTGTTCTGCTCTTCCCTTTTCCGATCCCTCTAATGATTGTGTTGCAGCTATTGACCAACTCATGAAGGAGTATTCTGATCTCTTTGAATTTGACCTATCGTCTGGGGCCAAGATTGCCACACGTCATCCAATTCCAACCGGGGATGCTCGTCCAATCAAGGTTCCTGTTCGTCGTCAGTCACCCAAGGAGATCAAGATTTTACGTGCCAACGTCAAAGAGATGTTGGAGAAGGGTGTTATTCGGAAGTCGCAGAGTACTTGGGCATGTGAACCTCATCTTGTGACAAAGCATGATGGGAGTATTCGTTTCTGCATTGACTATCGTCTATTAAATGAAGTAACGATCCCGAATGTGTACCCTCTTCCTCACACTGCTGATCTCTTGGATCGTCTGGGGTGAAGTCGTTGGTTCACCAAGTTAGATCTTGCTTTTGGGTACTGGCAAGTACCAATGGCCGACGAAGATATTCCTAAGACTGCTTTTCATACACCATTTGGTTTGTACGAGTTCTTGGTGATGCTGTTTGGTTTGAACAATGCTCCAGCAACTTTCCAGCGGATGATGGACGAGGTTCTTTGTGATATGCCAGAGGTGACTGCTGACTTCATTGATGATGTCTTGATTCACTCGGAGGGGACGTGGGCAGAGCACGTTCGTGATGTGTGTAAAGTGTTGGATCAGCTACGGGATGTTGGTTTAAAGCTGAAGTGGTCGAAGTGCGTGTTTGGGTCCAAGGACACAACTTATCTTGGGTAGCGTATTTCTCGTGAGGGTTTGCAAGTTGATCTTGACAAACTCGTAGCCGTTTTAAAGTTCCCTACTCCGAAGTGTGTGAATGATGTGCAGTGCCTCTTGGGCAAGGTGTAGTATTTTGGTCGTTTTGTGGATCATTTTTCTGATCGCACTGCACCGTTGCGAATGTTGCTGAAGTCATTAACGTCATCTTTCATCTAGTCTTCAGATTGTGAGCGGGCGTTTGTGGATCTCAAAAAACTATTGATGACTCCTCCGGTTTTGGCATATCCTGACTACACTCGACCTTTTATTTTGCGTGTTGATGCTTCTGATATTGGTCTTGGAGGTGTGTTAATGCAAGAGAGCCCGAGTGTGCCTGGTCAGCGTCATCCCATTGCATATATAAGCCATACGTTACAACCAGCAAAGTTGAACTACTCCAAGATAGAGAATGAGTGTTTAAGGGCAGTTTGGGGTTTCGAGAAACTTTATGCATATCTACATGGTTCTCGAATGTTACTTGAAGGTGACCATGCTGCCGTTATTTCATTATTGAAGTAGAAGAACCTAGTTGGTCGTACTACTCGGTGGGCTTCAGATATATGATTTTGATGTTGTTCATCACCCAGGGAGTTCTATAGCTGATGCTGATGCCCTTTCTCGAGCTCCTCTTCCTTCTTCACTCACTTCTCATGTTTCTGATGAGCCTGTTGTTCCAGCATCTGTGGATTTTCTAAACGAGGATTCAGTGTCGTTGGTGGTTGTTGTACTTGATGTTCAGTGTCCACAAGGCACAGAGCAAGATCTACCTTCTCTTGATGAGGTTCACGAGGCTCAAAAGATTGAGCCGTGGATTCGAAGGTTTCGAGATGCGTTTGAGGATCCTGCATCACTTGCTGATGACTTACCTTTCCGGCATTTACATTTTCAATATCGCTTTAAAGATGGCTTTCTTTATTTTGTGGGGACGGATCCTGATGATCATTTATGACTGGTAGTGCCTTCTATCTTTATTCCACGGTTTCTCCATGCCTATCATGATTCTTTTGTTCTAGGGGGTCATATAGAACATCGTCGTGTGACCGAGAAGCCGTGCAGGTCTTTCTATTGGCCAGAAATGCGACGTGATGTTATCCGGTATGTGCGTAGCTGCGTTTGGTGCCAAGCTCGTAATACTCCCTCTTGTGCTGTGGAAGGACGGTTGGAGTCAATTACAGTTTCCCGTCCGTTTGAGTTGGTGGCATTTGATCTTATGGGACCTTTTCCACGGTCGACTGTTGGCAATAAGTATGTTATTATTGCTTTTGACTACTTGACTCGTTGGGTGAAAGTTAGTGCTCTTGTTAGCGTCTTTGCAATTGCTATTGAATACTTTCTTCTCAATTGAGTGGTGTTCCAACATTCTTGTCCAGAGCGGATTCTTTCGGATAATGGTCTTGCATTTATGGCTGAGGTATTTCATGTTTTGACATCTCGGTTGGGGATACGCCACACTTTTACAAGTGCTTATCATCCACAATCAGACGGTCTGGTGGAATGGCTCGTTCGGACATTCAAAAGGATGATTGCAAAGTATGTGAACTTTCAGCATTCGGATTGGGATGGTTATTTGCCGTCTCATCGGTATGCCTATGTTATAGGGGTGCAGAGTTCTGTTGATGCTTCACCATATAAACTTCGATATGGTCATGATCCAATATTACTAATGGAGCTGGGTTTACCTTCGCGATTGCCACGAGCTCTTGATGTTAGGTCATGGGATCAATATTTGACGAGCATTCTTCCACTTGTCTGAGCAGAATCTACCAAACACTTAGGCCACGTACAAGTGGGACAACAACAGCACTACAACTCCCATCATCGTCCACCTGCAGAGTACAAAGTGGATGATTTGGTGTTAGTCTGTTTTCCCCATCTTACGGTACGTGGTTTATCTAAGGGGCTCCTTGTGCAATGGAAAGGACTATATCGAGTGTTATGGCAAGTTGGACCACAAGTTTATGAGGTTTGGCATGACATCCAGCAGGCCGATCCTCCGGAGATGTGTAGCAGTTGAAGCACTTCATACAAAGGGATCAAGAGCAGTTAATGCCATTTACAGATCCGCCGATGCCTTCTCCTGATGTTCTTTCAGATCCCGGCCCATCTACAAGAGAACCTTGATATCTTTCCATTATTCCGAGAGGAGGGGATGATGTGAAGGCCAAGTGTACGGCTACGATGCTGTATACTAATATTAACGTAGTGGGATTTTGGTAGCCGTCGGATTGGTTTCAATCCGAACCACTCGCTCCTGTATATAAACTAAGGTTTTTGGGCTAATGGATATACACATTTCTGTATTCCCTTTCCATATTCCATGCACTCACAGCTAAACAAAAAATGCATTAAAGTTTTATTGGGTGTTTTTCGACTTTGGCTTTGTTTTAGTGCTAAAAACCTAATAAGGCCTAGAAAGAGACGAAAGTGAAAAGGAGAGAGCACGTACCTAAATATACAGAAAGGGATCCAAGCTTAGCTGCATGTTCTGCCGTTAAAAAGAATGCTGGCAAAACTAAGAAAACATACCGGCGGTGGTAACTCTGGAGGAGAAGTGACACCAGCAGGCCTGTGTTGCTCCACGTACTCGCCATAGTGAAGCACAGACACTTTGCTTGTTCTCGGTAGCCTTGCCGCATGGGGGTTCTTCTCCTCGATCAGCTTGGACAACATAGCCTGTGCATTTAGGAGGCGTGCATACTCACTTGTTGGATCATTGGTGTATGGGCTCCAAACCGCTGGATGTGGCCCAGGGGTGTCTTTGTGCCAGCCATAACCACAAACATCACAGTACGTCACCCATTCTCGTAACGCTAGCCCTAGTTCCGCCCCATTGTCTGGAGCCAACGCCTCCATGATCACACCCCGGGCCTCCTCGCCAAACCCCTGGGCATACCTGGTGACGACTGCTCGGTGGAATGGAACCACGACGTTTGCTAGGATTTCCACTTCCGCTTCAGCCAGGCCCAAACGGTTCTCCAGCGAAAGACACAAGCATGCCGCGAACATCTGGAAGTTGGCCCAGGCAGTGGGGTCCCGGTTTTCCAACCTGACGATCCGAGGCCGACGACCCTTACGGTATTGTCGCAGGGCCTTCGCAAGCACGGATCTGGTGCGAGCATCAAGCTCGCTCTCACACGAGTCGCGGTAGATTGTGGTCAGGCTATCAGCGACCATCCTGATGCAGTCATAGGCAAGGAAGAAAAGAGGGCCCCCGGTGAAGCGGCTGTAGTTGACCTTCATCTTCAGTTCGGACTGCAGCGCCTCGCTTGCATCAGCCCAAGCACCCAGGTTGTGGATCACGTCTGCGAGATCTCCCAGAGGCCGCTCCAAACCACCCAGGTCCATAGAAGGCAGCTTCTGCCGCATGGTCTCGAAGTCTTCCTTGGTGCTGCAGCACATCACACCAGGTACCCGCTGACGAGTAAAAGGCAAAGACCCCGCAAACACCACCTTTTTCTTCGCATCCAAGAAGTGATCCTTGCCCGTGAAGAAGCTCCGCCCAACAGACAGCATCCTTGAAACAACCCACTTGACCTAACCCAAAACTAATAATCAACGTTTAAATATTAATAGACCCTTTTAAATTTAAATTTCAGGGAGATGGAGGGAGCCCGAAAGCTCGTCAAGGCTTCTCGTAGCTCGGCGGATTCTTTCTGGTAGGCCGATTGTTCTCCATTTTTTTCCTTTCAGAAACGCTTCGCTCCATGATTCTTCCCATAGCCCTCTCGACCTGGTTGTTCCCGCTGGTTACAACGCTGGAAAAATTTAAAGCTCGACAACGAATCGAATTCCTGGAAGGAGGAAACAAACAACCTCACAAGAACATTCACACAAACTGCTGTAAAACCTGTGAAAAGCCAGGATCTAAGTTACAGAACTTGCCTGGTCTCCAGGCAAGTGGATCGTGTGGAGGCCAGCGCCGGGTTTTGATCGTTGTCCGGAAGAAGCTGCCAGGATTAAATGGAAACTTAGCACTCGAAAGATCACAAGAAGAAAACATACAAGTCTTCGTCCTCAAGGCATTTTGGGAATGCATTGAGAGGCTGCTTCTACGTTGTAGACTTCCCTGGAATGTTTCCCTTGGAAGCACACCAGGCCTTGGCTACCTAGGCACAAAAGCGTAAGAGAGAGAAGCGAGAGAGATTAAGCACAAGTCTACTGTTCCCTCCATCTACGTCGCCCTTGTTGCCGAGAACAATGAAAGGGAAATTCTCTGGATCGGAGGGACTTGCCTAGAGAAGTTTCTTGCTGGTTTAGAAACTGATAAAGAGCTTTCAATGGATGAGAAACTCCTCTCGCCTCTGAAAAATCCACAGGTCAGTCAAGGGAAGAAACAGGAGGGGAAAGAGAGGGAGAGAAGTTTACTCGCACGCTCCCGCGAATTTCTTGATCGCTGGTTTCTAGAGTAGCACGAGCTGACGGTGTGGCAATGAGTTGTTCGTGGTGGATGCGCAGTAGCATCGTCGCTACTCTTCCTACAGTTTCCACCTTTGAACGTAAGAAACCACTCCAATCAGTGAAAGAAAGATCCACACGAAAAGAAGAAGCCTGTACCTGGGATCCACTGCTTGACGTATTTCAGCAGCTTCAAGGCTTCAAGGATCCACTGCTTGACCGAGCACCATCACGTTGAGTTGGGACTTCGTTTATTCTCCAGCCTCCTGCAAATACATGCCTGAAATGGTGAGCTTTTTGGAGCTACAGATTATACCCAACCTTGTCCCTTCTTCCTCGGCTAAGTCCAAGGCATCGATGATAGAAGACACGGTATCCTGCGTCTTTCGTCCGGCCAAAAGCTCCTTCTTCTTGCCTTGGAATCGTCTAGCTCGGATCATCCAGTTGTTGATCTAAAGGTAGAGCACGCGTGATTTGACCTTTTGCGAACTCTTGTTTTCTGGGGGTGTACGTTGATTGCCTGCACATTACTAAACGAGAGATTTTCTGACTCACACATTGCTTGCCGAACGAGCGTTTTATTGGAACAGAGATGAATATACAATTGGCGATTGAAAAGCCTGGAAAAAAAAATCTCAGTCCCGCCACCAGGACCTGCAAACCATTAGAAAAGGGAAAAACGAAAAGCTGGCGAAAACATACCAGGCATAGCCGGCATTTACCACTCGTAGCTTTCCTTTACTCCTTCGATTCTCCAGCACCTCCAGCACCTGCACTTCACCATTATAAAGATTTCTGGTAAGAAACCAAAACATACTCGCCGCCCCGTGATGCTCCACGTAGTTTCGATAGTGCACGACCGCACATTTCCCCACCACGTCAAGGTTATTGCCCCTGCTCAGGATCTCCAACGCCTCCTTCATGTAGACCAGGCGTGCATACTCGGTTTGAGTATCCTCCTGAGGGCCCTCGATGAAAGTTGCGGGGTGAGCAGCTTTGTTGCGTTTGTCACGTTGACTGTAGAAGGTCGCCCACTCCTTCAGAACGAGCTCGAGTTCTGGCTTGCTTTCTGGTGCCAATGCCTTGAAGAGATCTTCAGCCTCCTCGTCAAGCTCTCCTTTGGATTCCACAACGTACCTGAAGTTTGCAAGAAGTAGAAGTTTGCAAGTTAGCAAGGCTGTCCATATCCAGTTCGCAACGTACCTTTCGATAACGCCTCGGTAGAAGTTAGCCAGACTTTTCACGGCTTCTTCAGAGAGGCCATTCTCCACGGGTTCCTGCATAGCCTCGGACAAACCAGCCGCGAACATTGTGAAAGTCGCGGAGCACGTCAAATCCGCTTTCTTCGCATGGAGAGTGCGTCCCTCGCAGGCCTTGCGGAGTGGCTTGTCGAATGAAGCTCTGATCGCAGAGCTTAGCTCCTTTTCGCAGGTCTTGCGGTAGATCCTCGTAAGCCTGTCCGAGAAGATCCGCATGCAGTCAAAGACGAGGAGCATTGGCGATGTGTCGATCAGTCCCAGTCCGATATCCAGCTGCATTGCCTTCACAGCGACCCGGGAGGCCTCGTCGGTGACTAGCCGCAGGATTTCGTCCACTTCTTTCTTGATTCTCGACAGCCTCTTCTCCATTCCTTCGAAATCCGCTGCCTTCACGAGACGGAGGAGCGTGTCCACATGCCTGTTGCTGAAGCTGATCAAGACAGGCTTGTCTCCATCCTCGAGGAGGCCCAGGAGCACCGGATTACCTTGCTTTCTCGCATCGTTGAGGAGATTTTCGTCCGGAACGCTCGCGGGAGGCGTGGGGAAACGCAAGCCAAAGCACAGCATGATCGCAAGCGAGGAGAACGAGAAAGATCGAGATCTGGCCGCGCGCGCGCGCGCTCGCGGAGAAATATCGACGATTGCCCCAAACCCTGGACTAGAACCCTAAATTGGGCATTCTAGCGGGAAATTTGAAAACGCCACATTTTTTTGCTTCATTCTCTTGGGCTCTCAAGAGCAAGCTGGAAAAGCTCCAAGCGAACACCGCTCTCGCAGGAATGGCAATCCTCGGAGAAAGACAGCAGGAACAGCAGCATCAGCGATGGCCCATGACCTCCAAGTAGCGCTTGCAGTCCCCGACTGGCTGCAAGCGCTGAGAAGCCACAGGAAAGTCGTGCCATCGGGAGCTACCGATCGATCCTTCCTCATCCTCTCGAAAGTTTCCAGCACCGACTCGGCGAGAAGTTGTTCCAGGCTTCCGGATCGATGCAAACACCGCCCATGCTTCCACACTTCGATGAGTGCGTTGGCCAGAAAGAACACAGTCGCTGAGCCCGGCCTCGCGGATGCTGGCATGAATCTTTCTCCCAACCTCGAGCAATGCAAGCATCCCGCAGGCCTTGAGTGCTGGCACGAGAAGATGCGGCACCAAACGCTCGAACTTTCGTGCCGCATCTTCTCGCTGCTGCTGCAAACTTTGAAAGAGCTCTAAAGCCGTGTGGCGCTCCCCGGCCTCGACGTAGCCACCGATGATCGCGTTCCATGACACTATAGTTCGCTGCTGTATCCTTTTCAAGACCCGTCTCGCCATGTCCATGCGCTTGTACTTGGAGTAGCTAGCAAGGCCGGAGCACGGACTTAAAAGCCGTGATGAAAGTCCGACAGTCTGGTTCCACGCCTTCGTCTTGCATCCTCTGGAACAAATCCATAGCCTTCTCGCCTTCACCACCTTCTGCAAGCGCCATTATCATCGAACTCCACAGCACCGAGCTTTGATGCCTCGTCGCGAAAAGACTCGCTCGCATCACCAAGGTTGCCACACTTCATATACATGTCGATAAGCGACATTGCCACGAACGAGTTGGACTCGTCACCAGATCTTCGAGCTCGAGAGTGAACAACCATGCCTCTCTCCAGGCTCAAAACTTTCACCACCATTGTTCCATCGCCTGGAAAACCCGCTGCCTCCTCTTCCTTCTCCGCCAGACTTGTGCAGGCCATGAGCGCTGGAAGATAAGCCTGAGCTAGCATTGCTTCAAAGTACTTCAACGAAAGCTCGCTTTCATGCTCTCCATATATCCCGAGACCATAGCAGTCCACGAAACCACACTGTGCCTTGGCATGCTATCGAAAACCGGCCGCGCGATTCCACATTTCGTGTACATGTCCACCAGCGTGTTTGCCACAAAAATGTTTGTGCCGTGCCCGAGCTCGGCGAGCAAAGCGTGCAAAGCCATGCCTGTTTCCAGCCACCTGACTTTAAGATCTCGTCCTTGGAGTCTCTGTCTCGCTTGTACATGTCCGGGCTCACCACCTCTAGTGCGTTGGATGAGAGAAAAGAGCTCGAGAGCCACCTCGCCTTGATCGCTCACCGCATGTCCAAGGATCATAACGTTCCACAGCGACACACTGCAGTCTTGGATCCTGTCAAAAACTCGTCGAGCGTCTTCCAGAGATCCACACTTCACGTAAGAGTCGAGTAGCGAGCTTGCCTGAAACCGGTTAGACTCAAGGCCCCTCCTGAAAAGCTCTGAGTGACAAGCCATTGCTCTCTCCAGAGAGACCAGTTTCACCTTTTTTCCAGCCACCTCCCTGCCCTCCCGCTGCGAAGCTGCCGCAGGCACCAAGAACAGCCACAAAGGTTCTCCCGTCCGGTTGGAAGCCTTGATCCAGCATGGTGGAGTTCCAGGGCCAAATCCTTTTCTCCACTCGGAGCATAGGCCTTCACCACGGTTCGCTGCTTCATGCCGTCGAAAACTCACCGAGCTTCGTCCAGGTTCCCATGACGTGTTGGCCAGGAAAGCGTTATCTTGAAGAATTGGGAAGAGAGCACCTCATCCGCATTTGTTGAGCACTTGTTCAAGTTCCTCCTCACTGCCGCAAGACTTTAGTGTCGCGAGGATCGCTTGAGTGCTCGTTCGTGTCGTACTATCTTTTCTCTTCAAGTTGTTGAAGTTGTTGGAGTTGAATGCTCGTTGATCATCGAAGCTACAAGTTTCCCTGGGTTGCGAGTTTGTATTCCTGCATCTGCGACGCTCGGAGAGAGCATTGGAATTGTTTTCTCGCAATGATACATCTAGCAAAGAACAAGGAAACATGACTTAGAGATCATTGTCGAATTTAATTGCACGTACCTCTCAAGGAAATTGCGTTGCCTGCCGCAGCTACCATGTAGTTCCTTCCATCGATCCAGAATGCTACTGCTTATACGAACATCAGGATTTTCCTTTGAATACCTCGAAGAAAAACCAGTCTAGACGAGACTACATACCATGCTGATGGAAATCTTACTGTTCCCACTGTAGCGAGTTTTCTGGATTTTCACGGGGGAATGCATCATCTATCCATCGCCAAATCGCGAAGCTCCCCAAAAGAACCCTAGAACAATGCCTACACTTTTCAAGTCACTTGGCCAAATTCTCGCGCTTGGAGAGCTTTCTCTAAAGGTAAGCCGATCAAAACGCTCCTATCGGTTCGTTGGCTTTCTTAGAGGACGTGAGGGAAGGACACAGGCCTCAAACTGGAAGACTTGGAAGACACTAAAAGCTTTTTATCTTCGGCAGAACGACATGCGAATACTCTTTGCTTTACAAGTAACATTGGCAAGAATCGAACCCGAAGCGCATGCTCTGGGAAACCGATGTCCTAACTGCCTGGTCTAAGTTGTTTTAGTGAGCTAGCGAACCAGAACAAGGGCTACTTAAAGAGCAAGATTTTTGCATAAAAGTCCTTGTTGATTGGACTCTTCGGCATCGAACCCGGGTCTTCTACACCGGTTTACCTCTACACTTACATGGTAGCCATCATCTCAGCAACCGGGTTCCAATAATAAAATATCATACTATCTACTTGAACCATATGGCATCCATGGCACTCTGTTAAATCCCGGATCGACCTGCATTCTCGCTGCTCGAGGCCAGCGTTTCGTCCTTGGCAGAAGCGCTTCCCCGATTTTAGAGGTAAGAGGACGGGATCTAGATGGATCGGGGCGGCGCTCCTCTTCCCAAAATACTTGACGACCAGCGCGTGGTGGGATCCAAGGACGATAGTGGCGCTCTGGGTGTGGGGAGTTCGCTCAGTGGTGGATTAAACCACTCGGCCAAGGAAGGAAAATCGACAGGAGAGTTTTGTTCGAGATTTTCTCGCGCTGTTTCTACGAATGAAGAAGGGAGGAGAACAACTGGTAGCTCATTCCCGTCGCTCTGCTCGTCTGTAAATGTACCCAGGCAAGGATCGTAGATTGGCAGATCCAGGATATCGAAAAGACGGCCAGGTTTTGGGAGGCCTGATCAAATCTCACAAGAACGCTCTCTCGGCATCCAGTGAGTTTGCATAGAGCAAGCACAGTTTTGCATTTTCATTATCCTCCTATTGTTCTTACTATTTTATTTTCCTGTAAAAGAAAGAAAACGAACCCCCGCGTGACGTGTCAGCCACGTGGCTGTCCACCTGACTTGTATAAGTTCTCTGAATGAAAATTTTCCACAGCGCCGCTCCTCCACCGCCAGATAGCCGCCAGAGCGCCACCACATCTGCCCAGATTTTACTACGATTGTTTTTAACGGTCAGGATTTGTTCTTCGTCTCTAAACCTTAAGAACCCTAAAATCAGATGATTGGGCAAATCAATGTTGCGTTGAGAGAAGTGGTTCCAATCCAGCTGGACGGCGACTGCCGCGAGCGCGATCTCCTCTCCGGTAAGAACATCGGCTTGATCAACGCAATCATTGATCGACTTGCGAAACGGGGCAGGATGGATGAGGCACGCCGCATTTTCGATGCCATGGATCGGCGCACCGCGGCGTCGTGGAACTGCGTCATCGGCGGCTACGCACGGTGCGGCCAGCCGGATCTCGCGCTTCTGTTCTTTGGGCGGCTGCATGCCGAGGGGTTGGATCCAAACGGCCGGAGCTTCGTCGCGGCTCTCCACGCGTGTTCTTCGCTGGCCGCTACAGAAAAGGGGGTGAGAGATTTACAGGGGAGGATCATCAAGCTCAGGAGCCTCAAGAGAGGATTGGCTCTTCATTCCCAGCTCCAGAGTGGTGGATTCTTGGTGGACAGGTTCGTGGCCAGCGCCCTGGTGGATTTCTATGGAAAGTGTGGCAGCGTGAGAGAAGCTCTAGAGATTTTCCAGGCTGCCAAGTTGGGAACAAAGGACGTGGTTTTGTGGAGTGCCATGATCAGCGCTTGCTCGCAAGGAGGGGAAGACGAGCTAGCCTTGGAGCTCTTTGAGCTTATGCTTTTGGAAGATGGAGTGGAGGCGAATGCTCGGACTCTGGTGGCCGTGCTCGACGCTTGCACGAATCTGGGATGGCTGGACAGGGGCGGAGAGATTTACTCGAAGTTTGCAAGAACAGGGACAGGGATTTCGTCCAGCGTTTTCGTCTCCAACAGTCTGATGGATATGTATGCGAAGTGGGGGAGATTGCTGGATTGCCAGCGAGTTTTCGATGGGATGTTAGAGCGGGATTCGGTCTCCTGGAATGTTTTGATCATGGGATATGCAAAAGGTGGCGAGGCCGAGCGAGCTCTCGAGTTATTCACGGCCATGCAAGCGTTAGACGTGGTCGTCAGCTCCAGAACTTTGGTGGCCGTTCTCCAGGCATGCTTGGATATGGCTGAGAAGGAAGAGGCTCGGCTTGTGGATGGAAGGCCCTTGAAAGTGGCGTCGCTGGAGAAGGCATTGGCTTTTCATTCCCGGTTTCTCGACGGGCTGGAAGATGTTTACGCTGCAAACAACTTGATCAGTCTCTACGCTTGGTGTGGAAGTTTGGATGATGCGGCTCGGGTTTTTGACAAAATGGTGATCAAAGACTTGGTTTCGTGGAACATCATGATCGAAGCCTACACCGAGAGTGGAAACCATGAGCTGGCCCTGCAGGAGTTTTCGAAAATGGAACTCCAAGGACTGAAACCGGACTCGCAGACTTTTGCATCGGTACTTAAGGCCTGTGGTGGTCTTGGAGCACTACAGGCTGGACAGGCAATCCATCGTCTGATCGAAGAAGCTGGGGCCGAGAGCTCTCCGGCGGTGGCAAACTCGCTCATAAGTTTCTACGGCAAGTGTGGTGACATGGTGGAATCTCGGCGAGTGTTTGATGGGTTTCCAGACAAGGACGCAGTGTCTTGGAGTGCACTGATCGCGGGATACAGCCGTCAAGGGGACAGTGACGCGGTGTTTGATCTGTTCGAGAGAATGCAAGAGTTCGCCAAGCCCGACGCTGTGACATTCTCTTCAGTTCTATCGGTCTGCTGCCACGCTGGTTTGGTCGACAAGGGGATGGAATACTTTCACGCGATGTGCTCGGACTATGGACTTAGTCCGAGTGTGGAGCACGTAATCTCCATGGTTGATCTACTTGGACGTGCTAATCGGCTGGAGGATGCGCTTGCGATGGTGCAAAGCCTGCCCGTGGAAGAGGTGTGCTCCAGGATATGGATGGCTTTGCTTGGGGCTTGTTTCAAGTGGAAAAATGGGGTGATTGGAGAGGTAGCCTTTGATGCTCTATCAAAGGTTGACGATCAAGCTGGTACAGCTTATGCTCTCATGGCAAACATATACTCATGCTCAAACAATGAAAACCTTGAAGTGATCGGTACGTAATGAAGTTTCTATGACTTTGCATTTATCTAACTCTTGTTTTTTTCTTTGCAGCTGGATCTTTCTGATGTCACTTCAAGACATGAAGTGTGGAAAGAGTTGGATCTGATGCTCCACTGATGCTAATTCCCGAAGCATGGGCTTGCTTCAAATAGGCAAGAGCCTCCTGCGAGACGAGCTCTCCAGGAAAGAGCACAGAAATACCAGGTGGATACGGGCACACGAGCTCAGCACTCGCTAGACCCACTGCTTCTTCAGCTTTGCAGCAGTAAGTTTCTGCAAAGAATGCCTCTCTTGGACTAACTAGTGCTTTCCATCCGATTTTGTAACAATCAGGCACTCGGGGTCTGGAATAAGAATCTATCGTCAATCTGGAAGAACTCAAAAGCTCTTGAAAGCCTTTGATAAGTTTCTCAATGTCGCTGCTGCTAGTGCCGGTTCCCATAGCAAAAGTTATGGAGTTCAGAAGAGGAAGCTCGGCCACCACCTTGCATTTATCGCACAGAAAGTCATCGGCAAAAGTTCCTGTGACTCCGAGCTCCCACAAACCAATGGTGATCCTAAGCTCATCAAAAATGGTATCAGCTTTGGCTGCCAAGCTCACATTTTCTCTATCAAGGACTAAAACTTGTGGGATTTGTTTCAGGCGTCGTCGAGCTGTGGAAGCCAGCTCCAGAGCTGTATCAAACAATGGATGGTCATCGCTTGCTGCACAACTCATCTGGTCCCTTGCGGCATCGAGAGAGGCCAAGAGAAGGTAACTCGGACTGGAGCTTTGCAAGGTTCGAAGGCACTTGCTAATTCTCTCGTGCTTTACAATCTCGCAGCCTCTCGCAAGATGGAGCATCCCGGACTGCGTAAGAGACGAGAGTACCTTATGCGTGGATTGGACAACAACGTCGGCTCCCTGCTCGAGTGCCGTTGCAGGAAACCTCGAGTGGAACTTGAAGTGCGCTCCATGAGCCTCGTCAACTATGATCGGGATACCATGCTCGTGACACACCTTTGCGATCTCCTCCACTGGGCTACACACTCCGATGTAAGTTGGCGAGACAATCAGAACAGCTCCAATTCTCACGTCTTTTCTTTTCTGCAGATCCAAGATGGCCAACTCGATGCTCTCGGCGGAGACGCCGTGAGAAATCTCCCAGAGCTCGTCATAACAAGGAAGAACATAGTGAGGCATTGCTCCAGCAAGAACCATGGCTGAGAATGCCGAGACATGGGCGTTCCTGGGAAGGATCAAAACGTCTCCGGGCTTGCAGCAGCTCATCACCGCCGCTTGAATTCCACACGTAGAGCCGTTCACCAAGAACCACGAGTACCCTGCTCCGAAAAGCTCGGCGGCCATTTGCTGCGCTTCCGCTATAGCTTCTTGTGGCGAGTGCAAGTTATCCAGGCCTGGCAGCTCCGGGAGATCAAACTGGAAGGGTTGAGCTCCGAGAAGCTTGGAAATCGAAGAGGGCGCTGAGGAGCCGCGGCCGTGGCCTGGGAAGTGAAACGCAGCGACACGCTCCTCGCCGGTTCTCTTGAGAGCTTCTAGCAAAGGAGCTGAGGAAGAAGGGAGCAGTGACGGAGGATGATTGTTGAGCACCGTCGTCGGCATAGCCATCCACGCCATGAATCGCTCAAGCACGAATACTCGATAAACGGTACTGTTTCAGGAATGTGAGATCCACAAACTTTTATCCAGCGACACAAAAGCCTCCAACCAATTCTTCTCTTCCACAAAAATGTGGAGCAAACGGAGGTGCGGTCATTCCTCCAGCAAAGGAGATATAACTCAAGAATATCTTAGCTTTTGTAATATGGACCAGAATCGAACCTGAAACGGATGCTTTGAGAAACGGAAGTCCTAACTGACTGATCTTTAAATAGCCCTTGCTTAAAGATAAAAGTCCTTGCTGATTACACTTACCTAATAACCAATTCCTCATATAAACAAGTAAATTTTTGGCTTTTCTCACTGCTCGACCTTCCCAGATTCTGGTGGAATATTATCTATGGGTGGAATGTTCTAGAGAGTTGACTCTGGTGGTTGATGAAAATAGACTTCCATTGCGACTCAGCCAAAGATCCACAAATTTTCACAACCTAGTGAGAGGTAAATTAATGTCTTAGGTGGTCGGACATGCATTCCAACCACTATCCCTACACATGCTTTGGGCTTTCACCCCAAGCCTTTTTTAGTATCAGGAGTTAAGTCTCTGGGATAAGCTTAAAACTTACTAAATATGGAATGTCCTTAGATTGTGAATTTGGGCATAAGACAAACACCATTGTGTTCAAGACAAACTTAACATTCTATAAATATGACAAATGAGCAAATCTAAACACTTTCCATAAATAGCATTTGGGACCGAAATGAGACTAACATAAAGGGCATGATAGCGAAGGTGTTTGGTAGACACGGTAAACTATCATCCAACGATATTGAAAAACTAGTCTTAATACGCGAGGGTTTTTGTCACTAGCTAGTGCAAAACATAATAAAGACAGGAACTCCTTATTAGGTTAAGTATGTTTAGCTAATAGCACGTAGGAATTCCGTTCTTATGCTCATTCAGTCTAAATACACTCGAAATGCCCAATTAACTCCACTAGCATAAGAGGGGCTACCAAAGGGATTCAACTGTACCAACCTCTTGCCGTCATGGTAATAAGGAAAGAGTGTCTGTAATGACTGGCCGACAAGTATCTTTCGATACACGAAGTCATATTTGCAACAGTGACGAAATTAGACCATGGAGCAATTCCCAAGCATACAGCCCAAGGAGCGAAGGGACAAGAGCACGGAGCAACTTGTAATAGTCCTAGAGTATCCAACATTCCAATGCCAAGACTAACATACAAAACAGAGCCAAATGGAATTTAGTGCTATTTCAGCATACTGGTGGCCTAATGCGAGGATATAGGTACTCCATCAGCTAGCATGGTGTGGAACTCGGGTTTAGACCCAAGCCAGACGTAGAAAAAGGACATATATACAAGTGGGAGCTAAATTATGCTTTAGGTTAGTCGGCCATGCCCAACCTACCCACTATCCCTACTATACATTTGGAGCCCCCCACAGCAGACACGATATGCTATCATCTAGCGATATTGAGAGACTAATATTAATATGCGAGGGTTCTCGCTAAGCTAGTGCAAGACAAAGCAAAAAAGAACTAACAAATTGGGCCAAGTATGCTCAATTAAATAGACACCTAGGAATTCCTTCTTTATGCTCATCTAGCTAAGTACAAATGCTAAATCTAGTTTACTAACACTTGGACAAGTGTTAGTAGTGTTGGTGATGTGACCAGTCGACAGTAACTACCCCATGACTAAAGATTTCACTATGCACACAAAGTGCTGAAGTCAGTCTGCTTATATTGGCCCAAACTCAAAGATCAATAGATGGACAATATCAAAGTCAGAAACAATGATATCTTAGAGACTTAATTATCAATGAATAAATTTTAGATTAGAATACAAAAGTATTCTAAGGAAGTTATTATCCGATAAACCAGTAAACAACTTATAAAAGACAACTAGAAAAACACAAAGTATTATTGACTAACAAGCAAAATGCTTGTGAATGTATCACCCAAAGGAAATAATATTTAGTCTATTAGAACTAACTGGAGCAACAATCAATAAAACAGAATGAATATGGCAAGACTAACAAATACTTATTCATGCCAACTATTGCACTAACTAATTTAAATAGATCCTAGCTAATAATACTAAAGAACTCAAGTTGCTTAAATAAACATTAGCAACATCCTATCAATGTCTTAAACCCAAGAGACCAATCTAAAGCAAACCACAAAGGACATGTGGTAATGCGAAAAGCCAAAACCTATTAAAGAGAACAATTAACTATCATGAAAGATCATTAATTATCCCATCAATAGAGAGATGCACTTGTTGAAAAAAAAATCCACCATCCGAAGAATGGCAAATCATTCTATATTAACAATAATGTAGCAAAACCTTTAACAAAGATAATCAATTATCCTAAATAATAGTCAATCATCACGAATGATTGCCAAATGCTACCACTAACTTCAATATCAAAATTAATGAGCCAAAATGCCTTCCTTAATAAATCCTAACAAATGGAACAATAAATATGAAAACTCAAAAAACTAAAAGTTCAAAGAAGTCTATAGCCAAGTCTTGCCTAACAATGATCATAAATCTCGTATGAACTAACTTTAATGCTAATGAAGAAATTATGGTACAACCCATAACATTTGTAAGCTCCTGAATTTGGACTTCCCGAGAGGTCACCCAGCCCAGTACTATTCAAACCCAAGGACGCTTAACTCCAACTATCCCAAGACCCTTAACCGATTGGAAAAGGGGGTGCACTCTTATTCATGGGCCCTTTCCCTCTATATTTGAACCCCTATGGATCGTCTCTCGAGTCGTTCCCTTTGGTTGCTTACAATCCACCACGCTTCCCTGCAAGTTCACGCCCTCGTGAACGGAAGCTGAGAACCGCAGCTCTCCCGAGAGCCCCGCTCTCTTGACACCCTACCCCTCGGGTCGAGCCCAGCGGGAGCAAACTGGACCAGCCAGATGTCAATCAACATGTGGTATGATTCCCCTAAGCCAACCAACAGAGTCGGACCCAAGATCCCTCTGATACCAAATGTAAGCTCCTGAATTTGGACTTCCCGAGAGGTCACCCAGCCCAGTACTATTCAAACCCAAGGACGCTTAACTCCAACTATCCCAAGACCCTTAACCGATTGGAAAAGGGGGTGCACTCTTATTCATGGGCCCTTTCCCTCTATATTTGAACCCCTATGGATCGTCTCTCGAGTCGTTCCCTTTGGTTGCTTATAACATCCTTTTCAACACATTCATAAACTAAACTTCATAATGCAAAATTAATGAAGAGCATATTTGCTTCAATCCAAAAGCCAAACACAATGAAGTTATGCTCAACAAGTGATCACTAAATGATCCTATATAAATCCATCTATAGCAAAACATAATTCACTTCACAACAAGCATAAGAAGAATCATCAATGATTGATATATCCCAACTCAAATCCAATAAGAAATCAACATCTTTAATATTGATCACTAACTTTTCCTCTCATAAAGCTAGCATAGTCCACAACTAAATCACTTTTCAATGAAAAGCTAAAGCTCAACCT